TTTCTCACTTCAGAGAATTATCGGAAATACTAATACGAAAGTTTATTATGTACCCTGATGTGACATTTGATAAAATAAATTGAAGAATCTGAAATTCAGCTGATTGATTTCTAGTCTAGTTCAATATGCTTCAAAAAGTTGTTGGAACAAGGAAAGAGTTACAAATAATTGAAACAGAAAGATCGACGCATAATACGAGTGAAAATGCTAATAACAAAATTTTGGAAACATGGAATGCGATAACAAACATATTTAATTTTTTGAGGAAGCTGGCATATGATATTTTAATAATGTTTTCATCAACCTATGCCTGCGAGTCATATTTTCAGAGATTAATAACATCAAAAACTCGCAGTTACAAACCGTTTGGTAGATGACTCCAGTTCAGCATGCGTTCTGCTAAAATTAACATCTAACAACCCTAACATAAGTTATTTGTCATCTAATTTGCAAAAACAGAAGTCACACTAATTTTATTTTAATTTAAATTACACGTATAATTTAAACATTGCAAAATGTTTCTATTTTTTGCAGTAAATAAAGAATTTTGAGTTGATATAATTTATTATTTTCGCAATAATCACAGAGACAAAATTATTTGATGGCACGTCTATGACCTGATTAAACTTCTCTTTATAAAAATGGCACGTCGATTCGTAAAGGTTCGCCATCCCTGACCTAGACTAATTGGAGAAATTGAGTAACGCTCGTATAAAAAAATTAACATAAATCGAATATATACCAACAAACACAAACGTTTCGTTCTAGCAACCAATAAAGAAAAAAGTAGTATCCTAAAAAAATGAAATTAAAAGAAAGAATTTTAATCTCATGATTAGTCAAGTAGATCCAAATTTAAAAATATTCACTCTTATTAAATGGTCATAAATCATCCTTGTAACGTGTAGAGACCCATTCTGAGAATGGAAAATGATTTGTCCTTTCTTCATTTCGAGCCATTGATCCGTCGACTAGTTTTCTAAAGAAGTTTCATACTTGACTATCAATTTGCACGGTCCACACTATTAAAATACATCCCCTTTAATGGGAAATATATATGTAACGGTTTCTGTTGTAAAATTTCATCCTTATAAAATGTAGAGACCGTTTCTGAGAANGGTTTATTAATGTTTAACATGGGTTATTTAATCAACTTGTTAACTAACTTCCATGACGTAGGTAACTATGTGGTAATATAAGCATACATACATAGAACAATAAGTTTTTCGACAGTTAGACGTGGGTTGAGATTTAGGTACACCTTCTGGTTTCGATAGAATGTTCACCAACAACTTATATATATTTTGCATTTGAAGGTGTTCTGATTAGAGATGTGTGCCACGTCGTCAAATTTCAATTCAATTCAATGTCGTAGTCTCGCGTTGATAATGCCCACGTATGAAGTGGGCGAAACACGTGTCCGCTCAAAAAGTTTTTGTGGTAATTAGGGGTGAGTCTTCTTTTTAATTAATTATTATTTACCACAGTCTCCTATTTCTACTTTACTCTAATATTCGCATTTCCCTAAAACTAGAACAACCCACATCCTTAACTATTTAAGAACAGTAAGCTAATCTAGGTCTACCTCTACTCCTCCTAATTCCTGTTTCTGCCTCTAATATGTCTCTGACTAGACCTTCATGCCTTAGAAGGTGTCCTATCAACCTATCTCGCCTATTTCTTATTGACTTCTATAGAGTCCCCTGTTCTCCTATTCTTTCTAATACCTCCATTTCTAATCTTCTCTATCCTCATCATTAGTCGTTAACACCGCATTTCGAATGCTTCTAACATTTTGTTTTCCACCGCGCCCACCGTCCATGTTTCGCACTCGTACAGTGCCGCGTTCCAAACATACACCTTTAACAATCTTCTTCGAATTTCTAAATTAATCTTTCGCGGGCAGAGAAGTGACTTCTTTTTATTGAAGGCGACTCGACCCTGCGCTATCCTCTGCTTTATATCCCTACTACTCCTTCCGTCCTGACTTTTCTGACTTCGTAGATACCTAAAATCAGCCACTTCTTCTAATCTTTCGTCATCTATCTTTACAGTAACTCTTTCCCTACCTTTTTTCCTTTGCATACCAGTATTTTTGTTTTACTTTTACTTATTTTCATACAATACCGTTTTGTCAATACCGCTTCCATTTAATTTAAAGCTATCTGTATCTCCTCCTTGCTAGATGCTGCTATATCATCTACAAATCTAAGCAAACTAATCTTGTTCTGCTTCTAATATGTTTAACTAATTCTTCATGCCTAAGAAGATGTCCTACCAACCTAACTCGCTTACTTCTTATTAACTTCCATAGTGACCTCTCTGATCTCCTATTCTTTCTAATACCTCTTCATTTCTAACCTTCTCTATCTACGGTATCCTCATCATTCACCTGTAACACCACATTTCGAATGCCTCCAACCCTTTTTTTCTGCTGCGCCCCCCATCCATGTTTCGCACCCGTACAGCGCCGTGTTCTAAACATACAACTTTTACAGTCTTTTTTGAATTTCTAAATTAACCGCTAAAAAAAGATGAAAAGCGCTCGTTGTCAAATGAAACTGTCAATTCGATGGAGACGCATGTCACCGACGGTGCAGTTCCATCGACGGAAAGCGATGAAAGTTCAAACCAAAACGAATCAATAATAATCACATCGGAACCAATAATCATCCGGGGTAACGGTAACTTTACTCTGTTCGGTTTAAGCAACAGTTACCCCATCGAATTTCCGTCGAAATTGAAAAGTCGTTTGGCACCCGAAGAATATACAGAAACCATTTTTAAAATTAACAAAATACTACAGAAGATGTTATCCCATAATTTCAGGTGAATACTACTGTTATTCATAAATTGTTATAATCCTACTTAAACGTGTTACTGATAACCAAGATAAATTGAAATAATGTTTCTTGTAACTCTAAAGACAGGATAGAATAGAATTTTCATATAAAGTTACAAAAGTCTTCTTAGCTGACATTTCCTATACCTATTAACTACCTGCTGCTGTACTTGCCAAATTTCAGCTTCATAGGTCAAGTAGTTTTCGAGATCTCGTGTTTAGATAGTGAAGGAATGAGTGACCTTTCGATTTTTATATTTATCTTGAAACATTATTTTAAATTTGTATACGAAAATATTGGGGTAGTATTTACAGCTTATTTTTAACAATAAGATATTTATCGACATTTATAGCACCTGTTGCACCTACAGAAGCACTAGTGTGGAAATCGACGTCGAACTAAGTTTTTCCAATATGCACTCTTGACATAATGGAGAAAATTTATCCAATCATTTTTTCCGTGTACGAAATTTTTAAGAATAAAACTGACCCTTTTTCAGCATTTATTCAAACATACAAAATGTTTGTAAACCCACACCCAGAAACGTGGACAGCTTTTTTTCGCATGAGCCAAGAGGAGTGGGCTACATCATTGTAGTTTTAAGTTTCACACAATCGAAGATGCTGTTGAATTTCATAAAACTGTCAAAGCAAAACCATAAGTACAAAATCTCACATAACTCAAAGCCCTTTAATTTCCATGACAATATTACTATACAGAGTTGGGTAGAGCTTTGGTGCTTTATACCTGAAAACATACTTCAAGCTCTTTCAAACCTTAGAAGCAATTAAGGTGAGAAAGATGGAACGAACGAAATGAAGAGAGTGAAAGATTATCTGTGGAGTATTACTGCCCCAACATCTACCTAAGTGATCCAAGGAAACTACATAAAAACTAGACTAGAACAGACGAACCCGGAATAGAACTGGTGTCCTCCCGAATGCTAAGCAATTGTCCAAATCTCTAGACCATGCCGCGCGGTTTATGAACAATCTAATTCAAGACCTTTTATGAACAAGTAGTTGGGACGAATTACTTTGTAAAAGCGTTGTGTAATTTGTAGTGATGATCAAAGCAAGACCAAGACCAAGACCAAGACCAAAACCAACACCAACACCAAGACTGGGACTGGGAGAATCTTGGTCTTGTTTAATCGGTCTTGATGTTGGTCTTTCTCAAATACTTCTAATCATGGTCTTAGACTTGCATATATAGTCTCAGTCTTGGTCTTGGTCTTGCGTGTCAAGTCTTGTTCTTGTTCATTTAATCAGATACTTACGTTTTTTTTAATAATTCTTTTAAGCACAAATTTTTCTATTTACCGGCACAATAATTATCTGCAATGCTAAAATTTTCTGTCACACATGCGAGCTTGTCATGATTTTTAAGGAAAATAGTGTCGATAGTTGTGGGAGTTATGAAAACTCGAGAACTTTTCCTCCAATGCATAAATTGAATATATTAAAGTATATTACCGAAAGTTATAATTTTTCGTTAAGCTTTGCCTATTGTTCTTGGCATTTTGACAAGACCAAAACCAAGACTGTAAGACTAACACTAATTTTGCTCATCAGTTGTAATTTGTAATTCAAAGAGTTTGGAGATTTTTCAAAACGCTTAGGGATCTGAATCTAATTGTTTTCCAAATAAATGGTAATTCGAAGCTCATGGAACTTGTGGTTTCAATAAAGGCTCTGAGTTTAGGACTAGGAGTTCTTTTGCTGAGGGCTCTTCCCAACTCTGCTAGTATATTACGCACTTAGGCAGGAAAAGTAAAAGATAAGCTCTCCCCTGGTGAGTTTGCTATTGTTCACCACATCTCGGTCAGGTTAGGAAGTAAAATGTTCTTGGTTAAGTAAGGGAATTCGCTAAAGCTCTCAATTTGGACAATAACAGACACTTTTGCATCGATAATAAATAAAAGCACCGCATAGGGGTTTTGGTTATGTGAAATTGAATGCTTATGGTTTTAAATTTTAGGTTATATCTTCAGTATGAGTTCAGAACGTTCAGTTCATGAACCTTGACGCTAGATACAGGAACATAATGTCGTCCATGCTCACACCTAATAAGAATAGCTAGTTTTAATATTAAAAGTGATAACAATAAATGTAGTTTCCTGCATTAGTAAATAAGGATGCTCTCAAATTTCGATAGTTTTTCAGATGGCTAATTTTTGGTTGCATCTGTTGCTGCTGTACCGCTGGTTGTTCTTTACTCCCGGTTGTTTGTTTGAATAAACGCGTTTTACAATCGATCAACAAACTTCTGGACTGGGAAAACAACAGATTGTACTGTAGACTGGGATTTTCTTGGAAAATTGAACAGCAGAGATTCGAACATTTCAACGAATACGTTCTTGTGCTGGAGGAACTGCCCAAAGTCCACGTTTACAAACCCGACTGACCCGATTTCAACAATTCAAAATAATAAAAAAGTTGAAATCCCATCTTTTTTACGAACAATTACAAAAATATATAAGTATCTATTCGAAAACTGTTTCTCGAAATAGCAATCTTCTATACGTACGTCTATTTTAAAGATTAAAATATACCTAATATGATTCTAATCATTATTAAATATTATGTATTACTTTATTAACGATCTGATATTATTTGTGAAAATACAAAATAATGCTTTAATTTACATGAATACATATACTTATGAAAACCGATTTTGATACTTTGTCTCCTTGCGTATAAATAAATGTATAAACTTAAACTACAGGTTAAAAAAGTCATTCGTTAATTTTCTACCCTTATTACTCCAAATCCAAATTGACTTTTTGCTTTAAATTGTGGTTTTTATCAAAGGTAGGTTTATAAGTTACACACATCTGCGGTTTGGTTTTGGAGTAATAATAAACGTATTCACCCTGATCAACTTAAATTCTTCGTTCATTTTTAAATCAATTAGTTTCAGTCATAGTCTCAGCCTCTTTCATATTTTACGCTTCAAAATGCCCTTTTATAGCTTAAAGATTTATTTCAAAATTGTAATTAATTTTTGTTAGGTTATAACTGAAATTATTTCATCTTAATATGCAATATATTTTTTTATAATCGTAGATAGTAGTTTTTATGAAAGATGGACCGGGTACTCGGTTTGGATTCGGTACCCGGCGGATCCATCACTTTTTTCCTAGGATTTGGCCGGTACCGGATAATGACGCCAGTACCCAGCAGTGCCGGGTAATTCTATTAGAGAAAAAGGAAAAACCAACACCAGCAATAATAATTTAATAATCTAATAAAAATTGGTAAATAAGATTATTTTGAAATAGGTCGTTTGTTCTAATTACTATTATTTATTGATTACCATACTAAATTATTTGTTACATGGTCAGTGGGTGCGACGGAAAAGAAAAGGTTAGAAGCGTTCGAAATGTGGTATTACATGCGAATGATGAGGATACCGTGGACAGAACAGGTTAGAAATGAAGAGATATTAGAAAGAATAGGAGAACAGAGGACTCTATGGAAATCAATAAAAAATAGGCGAGATAGCTTGGTAGGACACCTTCTCAGGCATGAAGGTATAGTCAGAGACATATTAGAGGCACAAACAGAAGTTAGGAGGGGTATAGGTAGACCTAGATTAGATTACTGTTCGCAAATAGTTAAGGATGTGGGCTGTTCTAGTTTTAGGGAAATGCGAAGTTTAGCTCAGGATAGGAAAGAGTGGAGGTACGTGTCCAACCAGTC